GAAGTTCTCGGAAGGTTGCTACTGGTGCGGCAAGACCGGTCACTTGGCTAGAGATTGTTACCAGAACCCGAATAAGGTGATCCGTAATACGGCCTCTAAGCCCCCTGGAGGTTCCCCCTTACCGCTGGGAAACCCCCAAGGCGGTCGATAAGCGGCCCTCGATCGCCAGTACCATTTGCCCTGGAGACTTTCGGCGGGTCTTATGGCAATTTTCTTTACGCCGATATTTCATCTGACAAGGCCGTTCGAGGTCCTTGTCATGCTCTAGTTGATACTGGTAGCTGTTATACTTTATTAGACGAACGTTGTGTCCCGGCTGGTGCCAAGATACAACCTGTTCGTGGACTTGAACTTATTTCTGCACAGGGTCATAGCTTCGATTTGCTAGGAGCTGTCGCCCTTACTCTGTCCTTGTACGATTCGACTAACTTAGATAGTCCTTGTTTACCGGAGGCAGACCCCCCGCCGCCGGGTCCGGACCTCCCTCCTGATATCGTGGTACCTATGGTATTTTTGGTGGTGAAGGCTTGTGTTCACCCTATCCTTCTAGGTAGCGACTTCTTGGCACACTATAGGATGTCTGTGGTCTATCAAGAGCTTGGCCCTCCATTACTACAAGGTGTCTTGAAGGACCGACCTATTCCGTCTGTAACGGATGCTGGTCGTGGGTACTCCGTGTCGGCTACTCGAAGGAAACCTGAACCCCTGAAGGTACCTACCCGTATGATTGAATCATTGTCTAACTTACAAAAAAAGAAAACCCCCAGCAAGAATTTGATTATGCCGCCTGAACCCCCTCTCCGAGGTCCCAACTGCCCTGAAATTAATTTCGACGATACCCAGGCTTCTCGCCATAACGGTCGGAAGAAGCGGAATGCCAAGCGTAGACGCCGAAGGGATCTCCAAAGGAAGGTTCACAAGAAGGTCCAGAGAGTTGTCGCCTCCGCCTTGCCGTGGCCTCGGTTGATCGCTATGTTGTCTGTCAAAGAGCCCTTGACCAACGACGAATTGGCTGCTGATGGGCTACCGACAAAAATGCCGATTCCCGACTCTTGGCTACCCCCGGTCCCACGGCCTGGCGATATTGGAACGCTGTGGCCCCCGAGTGGAGTCACTACGGATGATATGGTGGACGATGATATCTCTGGTGCCCTTAGATTCGCGGTCCCCGACCTCACTGATGAGGTCCCTCGTGTTATACTTCCATCTATTGACCTTTCTGTGTATCCCAATAAAAAAAGATTTGCTAAATTATGTAATGAATATTCTGATTTATTTTCTTCCCGTCCTGGGAAATGCGATTCCGTTGAGCATGCTATACCATTAAAGTCAGATAAGCCCTTTTCCCAGAAACCACGACCGATTCCCCACAAATGGCGGGATGAAGTCAAGAGTCTTGTGGATAAACTGTTGGAGGAAGGAATGATTCGCCCTAGTACATCTCCGTATCGTTCGCCGTGCGTTTATGTCCCTAAAAAGAATGGCTCAGTGAGGATGTGTATCGACTTTCGTGCGTTGAATGCCCTTACGGAGGTGGATTCGTACACACTACCTCGCCCTGACGATGTGCAAGAGCACTTAGCGGGTTCGAAGTGTTCAGTACACTCGATTTGCAGTC